ATGTAGTTACAGTGTCTCCTTCATTTTTCAAATTTTACCCTGAAGTGGAGTTAAGATGTTGTGCTTATTTAAAAACAAAACCAAAAAACCCACAATTTGAGTTAGGGTCAGGAGTACAGTTTTGCTTATGCATGTACAAATCCTAGTATGACTTCAGAAAATAATTACTAAGGGACAATAGTTTTATGTTTTTGAAGTGGAAGCAAAAGGGAGAGGATGAATCCTACAGAAGCCCTGGAACCAGTGCAATGACAAGGTGTAGGAACAGTGAACTGGGGAGACTTTTTGGCTTGTTCTTAGGTGAGTTCTGTGATTTGACTTAAACCAAAATGTCAGAACTTTAATAGTCATTGAAAGACATTGAGTTTTAGGAGGTCAATTATCATTTTATTTTGTAAAATGGGGCATAGACTCATTGTGTCAGGCCTTTCCTTACGGTTTGATAGGATAAACATGCCTAGTAAGGAGTGTGTTTTCTCTGGTTTTTTTTTTTTTTTCCATTTCCTCTTCTGGTTTTTGTAGAACAATACATTCTGTAAGATAATTTTCAGGTGTCCTGTATACAACTATTTATGATTTTGAAAATAGTCTCAGATTTTTAATTGGTTTGGCTGTGTTAGCATACCTGTGCATGGAAAATCCCCCTGATACAGATAAAGCCTAAATCACTTGGACACCTGGGGCATCTTAACCAGAAGAGCTGGGAATTGCAACTGTTGATTTTTTTTAATTGATGGACTTAATTTATTGGAATGATTAGAGAACATCACTCTAATCCAATGAAATACCTGAAAAATGAATAAATGTTAGCGCATTCAGTGTTGAGAGTGCCTTTGCTGCTCAGTTAAGTTGCAGTGCTAATTAGTAGTAGTCTTTCAGCTGCATTTCATGACAGGTATTATTAGTAGACGATACTTGTTGCTTTTATTTGTAGAGGTATCTGACTTTGTCTTTCTGATCAGAAACGTGCGGTGCGACTAAAATCCAGGGAGAGGCCTGTTGCAAAATGAATGGTGACAACATTACAAAATGCTGTAAGGGAACAGTTAGCCCCCATTAGACTTTATTGGGGCTATAACAGTACAGAAAGAAAAGTTTTGTCTTCCTTTGGGAAGGTCAGAGCTTGCTTTTGTTGTAGCTGTGTAAGAGGTTGGAACAAACAAGATGGTTTTCAGTTTACAGCTATGGCATCTAATCATATTCAAAACCAGTTTTCTTTCTGTAAACAGAAAAATGCCCTGAGCTATCTGCAGTCCCTTCAGAATAGGGTGCTCAGAACAGAAAATAAATTTATCCAGTAACTCCTATTTTGCTGATTTTTTGACGGTTATTTGCTAAATACTCAAACTGTGCACTCTGATGCATGCTAATCCATTGGTATATTTGCTGGGGAGCAAAGGTGGCAGAAATGGGGATGTGTACTCAGCATGGAGTGTCTCCTTCCAGCCTTTCTATGTCAAACTTGCCTCGCAGGTAACAGTAGGTAGCAATCCTCTAAAGGGCTTTGGAAGCCTACCTGTGGTCAAAAAAAATGACATCACCAGCCTGTTCCAGTAGAGTCAGGTCAGAGTATATATCATCGAATAGTTCTTCCCAAGAGGGAGAATAGCTTTTGGCATAATTAATTAGCTCCTGTTTCTGCTTTGAACCTGTATCAATCTAGCTATGATCAAGTGAGTCCCGTTTCAGAGAGTAGTCTTCAAAATTGCCATGAATTGAAATTTCCTTCCTTTCTCGGAAAGAAAGAATGAAATTTGGCAATATATATTATTGAGTCCTCTTTAAAACATAGATTTGAAAAGGGGCTCTGATAGAAATGTATATATATCCCCACCACCACCTTCTGTTGCTTTTGCCATGAGGGATGAGTTCAGATGCCAGCTGATGGTGTTTTCTGTTTGTTACTCAGTCACACAGGTGGGATATACCTTTTAATAAACCACTATCCTTTATTGGTGTTGCAGACAGACTTTTTAAGGCTCCCAACTGCATTATTCTTTAAGCAATAAACATATGTTGTCATTTTGCACTATCGTATTTGTTAAATCAATTTTTTAAGCCTTGATTGTATGACTAGAAGCTTCCAGTAGCTTTTCAGAAGCTATTGGAAGCTTCTAAAGTTTTCATCTATGATTGATTACAGTTCTTCCCAGTACAACTTTGTGCTGTTTATTATGTAAGTTAACAATACAGATGTAAAAGCAAGTAATGGTATCAGGAATGCAATTTTATTTGAAGTACAGCTTAAATGTTCTGAAATAACACTGTGTAATTTAAATCATTGTCCTTTAGAGCTCTTCTGATTTTACTTAATTTGCTTTGTGAAGTGCAAAAGAAGTTTGTTAAATCAAAACTGCATGTGTTTGTGGTTATTTTGTATTCATTTAGTGTGGGTGAGTTATATGTGGGAATCAGCCCAAGGTTTCTAATCCCAAACAAAACTCTGCTGCTTGAGCTGATAATCCATAACTCATTACTAAGAGTCTGAATACCTGGTGTCAAGGATGGTGGCCAAGTTAAGACGTCTTTACATAGGCCCACTGTAGATGAAGGCTGAGAGAGGTGACACTTTGCACAAGTGTAAATTCTGTAATGCATGACAAAGAATGAAATGTCTGACACAATTAATTTTAGTTAGGAATTTGAATTCAAGTACAAAAAACCCAATTCTATTTAAAGTGCTTGCATATGCCTTAGTACATTTTCCCTCTGTATAGTAAATGTTCTGTTTTCTATGGCTTTAGTGTTGTGGAGGACTTCTTGGAGCATTTTTCAGGTAGATGAAGTAGTTGATTTGTCTAGTGGTCTAGAAATACAACTTCGATGCTGTGGTAATTGAATGCAAGTTCTTTCTGGGAAACTGAAATGGTATGTGAAAAGAACATGATGTAAAGGATTATTTGAAGGAATTCTGATGGTAGAAGGGGGAACATTCCTTTCTGTGTAAACTACCCACCTAGTTCTCCAATTTCTCTATTGGATGGGGGCAATATGCAGTATTAACTTGGGGAGGAGCATTATTAATCTTGTGCACTAGGTAGATTGTGTTGCATGATATCTAACCGTGTATGAAATGAGTCTTACTCCTATTATATTTTCAGTAGTTTTATTATTTACTTTGTAAATAAAGATCTCTTGAAGATTTCCATTTCTGGGGCTCATCTAGGCACCACTTCCTGAATGTCTAAGATATGGATTCTCTTTTATCACTGATAGCATCCTTCCTAGTTTATTTCTTTTAAAAATAAAATATATTTGATGTATTAGGGAAACAGGTTTTAAAAAAAACCACAATGAGTACAAGCAGAGAGCCAAATAGGAAGCTACCTACTTAGGAGCTTTATTTTTTTGTCCTCTATTTGAAAATTTTTGTGTCTTTATTCAGCAGATATAATTTCTTTTTTGTTTCATTTCAGCATAAAAATAAACCACGTGTGGTGACCTTAGCTAGGAGCCACGCCATTTCCTCAGCAGCTGCTGCTACACGCTGCTTGTCTGACAGACGGGGCTAGGTCATGGTTACCAGAGGACACCCTTGTGGTCATAAGCAAGTTGTAAATGTCACTAAGATTGTTTCTGAATGCCTATCACATGTGTATCGCTGATTCTGAAGTAGATAAAGTCAGTCAAAGATTCATTTGGGAGTCGGGACTCCCAGAAGATTACTTTTAAAGCCGAATAGCAGCCAGAGTTGTAACATGCATCCACAAGCAGCGGTAGTGATTTGACAGTTATTTAGCCCTCAGTTACTAGCCCTTTGGTAGAACTGACAGCACGCCTGCAAAGATAGTGAGGCCTGTTTCAGCCCCATTAATGTTGTCTTAAGTGTGAGCCTGTGGTCTGAAAAAATGATAAATGTTCAGTGATTGATGATTTTATAGTCCCAGGGCACTTGGGATGGTTTCTGGTAGCTGTGAACAATTTTCTCTCCTCCCTTAATTAGGCCTGAGCTTTAGGTTTCTCTCTACCAGACTTAAAGAAGTGAGTAAGTGGGAATCGTAAGATAAGGTTTGGAAAATGTTTTTCAAAACTTTGGCTACAAAGAAGGTGCAATTTTGAGTGCCAGGTCTGTCATGTTTTGGTACAGAATAAGTGATTCGGTGCACATCTGATCGGTCTGAATGGCAAATACCATATCCATATCTGTATATGGAAAAGCTGAAAGCATTTTGAAATGTACAAAAGAGAATTTTAAGTAATTGGGTTAATTAAATAATAATTGGGTTAATTAATAAATAATCTTAGGGCTTCTGTGTTTTCTGTCTCTATACCTTTGGTGCAAGCTTTCAATAAGCCAGTGCTTCCTGACTGCATTAGGATCACTCCAAGTCTGCTAAGTTGGCTATACTAATGCTAGAAAAGTACAAAACAGTATTTCAGTTTGAGTGCTTATTTGCAGGTTGGGTGACAGAGTTGTTTATTTCATCACTATTTGGAAGTAAACCTTTTGTCAGTGAGCTATGCTGTTTAGTAATGTGATAGTGTCAAAATGCCTATTAATCTGTAGCATTAATAGCAGGCTGCAAGGGGAAATGGAATTTCTTCTTGTCGTTTGCACTAACATTTTTTCCTAATGTCAGTTACTCTTCCTGACCTCTTTGCTGTGTTGTTTTATTAATGCAAACAGAAACCTTGGGGGGGGGGAAAAAATCAGTTCCAAGCTCTTCAGACTAATTTTACTCTCTCAGTGGTTAGCGACTTAACACTAAGAGGATTCAAATATAAAAATATCTCAGTATTATTCAGTTTTTAGAAATATTGTCCATGAGGACACAACTTATTAAGAAATTATGTGGTTTCTTTTTGATGGGGGAGAAAGAAAAGGGGGAGAAGGTAAAATGTGGGCAGGGAGTAATTTCTGTGAGATAGACCCAAAAGCCAACTTTTGTGATTAATGACCAATTGTGACTCTGCACATTTAATTAGGAAAGTGTCATTACACTCAATTAGCAGGGCTGCCAAATAATCTGTTTAATACTCTGGTCTTTTTTTCTCTCTAGGGTTTTGCAGACAGTCCTCATTACAGTGATCACTTGAATGACAGTCGATTAGGGCCCCATGAAGGATTGTCCCCGACACCTTTCATGAACTCAAATCTGATGGGTAAGTAGGTAATTCTTTACGAGTATCCCCTCAAAGCCTCTTTGGTCAGAAAGAGACATTTTTCATTCCCTTGTCTAGGCCTGACATGTCAAGCATCTGGAAGTTGCTCTGTTTCTCATAGCAACACTGACTTCCCTATTGAAATCTTTTTATGTTGGGCAAATTCCTCATAAAGGCCATTGTCCAGGACTTTTTAGAAGAAGGAAGTACCTAGATTTTCTCAAGTCGATCTAGAAAGCTGATATGTTTTGATTTGATTTTTACATTTCTCTTGTAAATTCTATATTATTTTAAAGTTGAATTTTCCTTAACTTTTGCTGAGAAGACATCTATAGCAATTTTTAATTTGTGTATTTAAAAAAAAGTAGTTATTTTTCTAACACTGTTGATTCCTGAACTACCTACCAATTTACTTTAGGCTTTTCTTCAGTTAATAATTTGAGGGCTTGCATCTTATTTTTAATTTTCTAATTTCTTTGATATTTGTTGTATTAGAAACATTGTAACTTCTCAGAAATAGATGCAAACTCCTATTTTGCTAGGCAAATGTTGTTACTGCTTCCAGTCTGTAGGTGTCCAACATTTTCTGCTTTTGAAACTGGAAAAACAAGCAAGCAAAATGTGTATTATATTGTGGGCTTAGGTATTGAAAGCTTTTTCTTTATTGCCTGCACTTTTGAGTTACCTAAAACTTGTTAATGTATTGATAGCATTGTTTGAAACTCTTCTTCTCCCTATTTCAGTTTGGAGCATAAAAATGTTGTTTTCAAAATATTTATTGTTTGGCAATACATGGTCTTGGGACAAATTTTTTTTCTTGTGTCTTAAACTTAGGGATGACTGAATGTTTGTTCTGAATTTGTACGTTTGACATTGTTTCACTTACATATTCTGCGTCTTGTAGACGTGACCTATTTTGTGATCTCAGTATTGTCCTTTTAAGACATAGCCATGGTAATCTAAGTGGATTACCTAAATCCAAATCCTGGTGGTCTGCAATTTCTTTTGGAAATCTTTCTACTTTGCTCAGTCTTTGTTTACTACTTTAATTTTCTCTGAAATAGAGGCAGACAAAGCACAGCTATTGTTGAAAACAGAATTTCATTTAAACCATCATATGTGAACCTGAAAATATGTAATTTTAAAATGACAGTCTCTGTAGTCTTTGTTTAGAGAGAGTACATGTCAATTGGTCAATGATATTTATATCTGAAGTCAGTAAAGCTGAAATGTAGTTTCCTTTAGTTATTTTGATAAAGCAGAGTAGAGCTTCCCCCCAATACTGTTTCAAATATGTTATCTTTTTTTAAATACAGGAGACTAAAAAGACTTGCTTCTCCAGTATTTTGATCAGTAGCACATATGGAATGGCTCTTTGTAGCTCATACTGATTTTATTTTACAAAAATATATAGCAAAGTTTGATTTTTTTTTTTTTTTTTAATTTATATTACCAAAGGCAAACTATTTGCTCATGCTTTTATTTTGAGCCATCCAATTTCTAAACAATATATACCTTTAAATATATGAAGAAAATAATTGGTGCAACTATGTAGTCTTAGTTTTTCAATTTTATTGAAAAGATGGCTAGGTGATTCCATTAGACCTAATAGAATTACATCATTAATACAGATTTGAGAAGAAGCCTCTATTGAGGTTGTTTTGTAGAGAGAATTAATGAATTGCAAGATGTGTATGTGTCAGTCACTTACCCAAAGCAGAAATAGTGAACTGAAATAGTTTTGTAATGCTTTATCGCTAACAGTTCTTATGGATTTTATTTTGTTGGAGCAATAGTACTTCATTTCCTTCTATATGCAGCATAGAATTATAGAAAGTTTTCAGTATATCTCTAAGAAATGTACACCTCAAAACTCTAAAAGTATGCTTTTAAAAGTATTCCACCTGTGGTTTTTTGGCTTGTCATAACAAAAAATTATATTCATTTTACTTATGTTACAATATAGGATGCAGCTTTGTATATCATACTTTCACATCATGCATTTTTGCAGCTTATCTTAAATTGATGCTGGAAGTTTGGAGAAAGGAATGATAAAAGCTACATAAAAACATTGAGTAGCATTTTTCTATATAGTACCACTATCTGTGTTTATGTTTTTTTTGTTTATTATTGAAAAGAAAAATGAGATTTCTTCTTAAGTTTTTTAGACAAAAAAAGGTTACACAGTTTGTTAATATCAAATTGTAGACACCTTCCCATAAACAGAATGAAAACATCCATTTTATTAGTTACTGTAGATGATATTTAATGCACTGATTGATTATTCTGTGATCTTCAGAGGTTAAAAGGAGGTGGAGGCTAAGAATATGAACTTGATGAGCTTATAGGAAATGTCTCACTAGAGATGGAGTGATGGAGTGTTTGAGGTTCCATGCTGAAGATCTAAGAAACACATCCCTTCCCAACATTTTATCATGACTGAAATACATCTCTGAAATAGTTAAAAACTATTTAAAAAAAAAAAAAAAGAGCGAGCAACAACATATTTCACCATTGCTGTCAACACTTAAGAGCACCATTAAAAGAAAGAATTGTGTGTCAAGGGGATGTTGTTGTTTTGTGTATTATGTTCAGCCGTAAGCATATTTGCCTGAAGAGATAGCGGATTATGAAGTGCCACTGTCTTTCATGATGGAGCTCTCAAACATTTTAATGATCTTGTACATTGCAAAAGAGAGAAATTTTGTCTAACAAGAGTTGATAATGATTCAATAATGAACAATTTGCCACAGAAAGATGCATTTCCATATTCATTTAGATATTTTTTGAAGTGTTTTGCAGAGGAAGTAAAGCTATTATGTTGGATTGGTTAGTGTTCTTCACTAATGAATTCCAGAATTATCCTGTTGATTTGTTAGTATAAAAAAGGAAGGGCCGTTGCTTGTATTTTAAGTAAAACCACTGAATCCTCTTGGCACCAGCATAGTCTGTTGGTATCCATAGAGATATGTAGAAAATCAGGCTAAGATATATTGGTGGTATTGTAGCTCCATTTAGACTTGATAATCTTTGCTTATTCAACACTTTCTGTTTTAATTACATTCTAGAAAACTATTCACAAGGATATGAGATTCTTTTCTCTCTAATTATGCTGCCTTTTAGTACTCTGCACTTGCAAGTAGAGGTCAGTTTTTGCTAGGGCCCTTCAAGCTTGTGGTATTGTATCTTCTGTTGTACTGTTCCCTGGACTCTATTCTACTGAGCTTTTCTACTTCTGCTTACCAGGAAGAAAGAAAGCAGATCATTCCTGAATATAGCTTAAAGGGGGTTTTTGTTGGTCCATCTTGAAAATTTGAAGTGGGTGACTTCATTTCTTTTTTATGTCTCTTTCCACAAGAGGTAGAAAAGATAAAGGCAAAACTTTTGTGTTCAATGTTCATCATCTGTATACTACACAGTTCCACAAGCTTGTACATGATAAAAAGTCATTAAAAAATTTAGTCAATAGTGAGTGAAAAGGTGGTGGTTGAATATAAGCTTGCCATGTTGAAATCAGTCCCTTGAACTAGAAAGAGAGATCATTCTTCCAAGTTTTCTGGCAAGTATTCTTCCTTGTTTTCTCATTATTTCTTTAACTAGTTGCTTTACAGTTTAATTGGGTTAAATTTTAGAGCTGTGGGTGTTCCTGAGCTAGCCACAGGGTTTGAAGACCTGTCAAGCCAGATAACTGGAAACTGTCATAATCAGAAACTCTGAATGTGTGGGAACGGAGGATTTTTAGATCACTTGCATCTTCCCGACCTCACCTACTCACTGGCTCTGGTAGACCAGCTGCAGGGTTGTAGTTACTAGTTTATTTTATATTGTCTGTTGATGTTGTAACACTCACCTCTGTTAGTATCCTAGTGAGGGGGTGACTGTGCTCCTCTTCCTAACAAGCTAACTTCTGCTACGTATAGCCATGATATTTTCTTATGGTCAGCATTAAGAGTATGGAGGACCTGACAATGCAGGGAAGTCAAGACACACATCAGTCAGTATTTACAAGGGAGGGATTAGAAGCTTGTTACAGTAATTAGAGCTATATTCAGATTGTTAATCAAAATATGGTTTCTTATACTCTAACTATTTATACTGTGAATATAAAGGGTAAGCCTGATTCTTGTCCTGATTGAAAAAAATAGGTGAAAGAACCAAACACAGTACTCTCTTATGGAAGCAGAGTAATACATTTTGGGGTTTCCCTTAATGGGTGGCTTCCCTTAATGTTGGTTGTACTTGATGCGCTTGAATCACTCGGGTGATTTGTCATCAGGCTTCACAAAACAGGATTTGCAAGTAAATTACATACATATACATACACCATTTATTTTACCCTCCTTAGTGTTTAACTGTCTTGTACCAGTGTAGCCGGTCGTTAATAGGTATGTACTGGGTAGAAACTGCCGTGCGGAGTGAAGGGCGGCAGGAGCGGAGAAGTGCTTGATGGGTTGAAGCCAAATTCCATGAATTTTCAAAGATAGTCTTTCGAGTTACTGTGAAACTAAAGACTCATTTTGTGAATTAATCATATAAATGAGCAATCAATATCTGGATTGAAATGCCTCGTGATTTTAGAGTTCCTGTTCACTTAATTGATTGCCTGATTGCGTAGGTTTGTAAGAATGGTTGTGCTTCTGCCAGTGTGTCTTTCAAACTAGTGAAATTACTATGTCTAATTTTTATTGTAAAATCTATTGTTTGATTTGTAAGTTAAGCACTCCAGTTGGCTTGGATAGAGTGGTAAGTATTTTTAAAGATGAACATTAGGGGCATTTTTTGAAGCAACATGGTAAATAGCTGAAGCCTCTGTAAGCTTTCCAGTATTGATATTGTTCTTGAACAGGTGATGTAAGCCTTTTAAATCTTAATTTGGGAAAGGTTATTCTCAGTAAAAGGAGAGGCTTTTGAACTTTAAAATACGATTAAGAGAAGGCATGCATCTGAATTGTTTCTCAGTTAAGAATCTAACTAATCTTCAGAAAAACTGCTAGTTTTCT